GGGGGGTCGGGGGGGGGTAGCTGTATTTGCCACAGGCAGGCTTTTGAAGGAGGTAGATCTCAGAGCCACAGGGCAGCACTAGCTGTGCATTTTATTGTAACACTTTCTAGATGATGACACTCCCTTTGTCACCTCGCTTCTCAGTTTTGCACATTTATATAAAAGCAATCATATGGTAAGTACTTTTTAAAAATAAAAATCTGGCTTTGTCTTCAACGTTACTTTCATGAAATTCCTTCATATCATTGAGTATAGATTCTTTTACCTTGCTCTATGGGATCATACCATAATATGCTTACCCATTCTACTGTTGATGGGTGTCTGTGTATTTTCTAGTTTGGAGCTGTTATGAATAGTGCTTCTTTGGTGAAAAGATGCCTCTTGGTGAACATATGCATGCATTTTTGATGAGTGTATATTAAGAATGGAATTGCCACATCATAGGATATGGAAAGTCCAGCTTTAGTAGAGGCCACCAACAGTTTTCCAGTGATTGAACCAATTCCTGCTGCTTCCAGCAATGTATGAACATTTCCATTAATCCATATACTTCACCAACACTTGTTATTTCCCATCCTTTGAGCCCTTCTGAGGGTATGTGGTAAAAGTAGTATTTTTACTATCAAAAGGAAAATTACACATTTATATAAATGCAAGAAGAAGATATGGTTGGAAATAGGTTCATGACTAGAATTTTAAAATAATTACACAAACATTTATTGCATTCTACTGCTTTTTTTGGTACTGTGCTAGCCTTGTTAGGGATATGGTGCCTCCCCTTCAAGAAGAACAGCTCAGTGAAAAAAAGACCTGGAAACAACTAAGTGCAAACACTGTTACAAGTGCTCTATTAGGGGAACACTGATAAAGAAGCAATTAATTCGGGTTTGGGATGTCAGGGAAAAGCTGGTTAACTTCTGCTTCATTTCAAGATGGAACTCAGACCTCAGAATCTCCAAAAAGGCTTCCAGAACCTTCCCGAAGTAGCTTAGGTGGCCTCTTCTGTGTTTCCCAAAGCATCTTCCTTTTGTTTCTTTGGTCACAGTGCTGGTCACTCTATACTAAAATTGTATGTTTATGTGTCTGTGTCTCTTGCTAGTCCTTAAGCTCTTAGAGGTCAAGAATGGACTTTCATCTTTATATCCCCAATGCTAGCGCAGGATGGTACCTGGCTAAGAGTAGGAGTTCAACGACTGTTGAGTGAGTAAAATGAAGAAAAAGCGTAATAACCACTCCCTTGTCTTCCCTTTCTAGTTCAAAATCTTAGCCAGTCCTGTATAAGGTTCACTTTGTAGAATGGAGAATTGGTGTATTAAAACATAATGAATTATAACAGTTTAAAAAACTTAGCATCAGAGAATCACTTTTTAATCTACCAAATGAACCATTTTTTTTTTTTTTTATAAAGGGAACAGTGAAGCAGGAGGCCTCAGGCTCAGCTGATTGAATTACAATTTGGCCAACCCCATTGAGACAAGCAATTGGCAATACATAGAAATAGCCTTTAAAATGTTCCTGCCTCCTTTAACACAATAATTTAAACACTCTGTTTGGGGAAAATAATCATAGAAACAAAGTTTTATACACCAAATGCTTCTCCAACATTATTGCTAATTGTTTAGAAAAGAAAGAGGCGAGTGGGCATTTGAAGTGCCCAACCACAGGGCCTCGTTAAGCAGATTATGATGTTATGGCGAGGTGTTGAGCTGTAGTAGAAAGACTGTCCTTGGAAGCTGAGAGGGCAGCGTTCAAATACCCTAAAATTCTCAATATACCACTTAAGAGCTGTGTGACTGATTTCAGATCCTTGTTTTGTAAAGAAAAATATCTTACTGTGGTGGTTGATATGAATATATCATTAAATAAGGCTCTCCATACATGATAGCTATCATTTACACATCAATTAAAATGAAGTTTATGAAGAAACAACACCTGGAGTAGAGTCAAAGAATGCTGGTATTTAATTTTGTGATTTCAGCTGGACCTGCTGGGTAATACCTCTATTACTTTCCTAATAAAGACAGTAGAGGCAATTAAGCATTAAAACTGTCCATGTGTTAACCAAAAACCTATGTGAATTCTTATCAAAAACCTAAGTGAATTATTTTAAAGATATTTTCCCCTTGACATTGAAAAAAGATGTAAGATACATTCTTCAGATTGTAATTATTTTATCATAATCCTGGAGGGAAAAAATTGATAGAATTATGGGCATTTTTCCTTTGAATTTTATTTATTATTCAAATTTTCTATATGAGCATACATTTTCTTTTTTCTTTTTTTTTTTTTGAGACGGAGTTTCACTCTTGTTGCCCAGGCTGGAGTGCAATGTTGCTATCACGGCTCACCGCAACCTCCACCTCCTGGGTTCAAGCAATTCTCCTGCCTCAGCCTCCAGAGTAGCTGGGACTACAGGCATGTTGCCACCATGCCCAGCTAATTTTTGTATTTTTAGTAGAGATGGGGTTTCGCCATGTTGACCACGATCATCTTGATTTCTTGACCTTGTGATCCACCCAGCTTGGCCTCCCATAGTGCTGGGATTATAGGTGTGAGCCACCGCGCCCGGCCTACATGAGCATACATGTTTTAGTTAGAAAAAAATCTTAAAAATAAATTGAGAGGAAGAGGCAATGATGGTACAAAAACATTAGAGAAGATAATTTGAGAAGAAAAAATGTGGTTTGGAATGAGTCCTGCCATAATTGATGTATTATAAGCGGTCCAAGGGGCTCAAAAAATCTTTCCAAATACTATCTTATTAGTTGATGCTCCCAATATTTATAGGCAATCAGAATATTGCTCCCAATATTATAGGCAATACTGAAGGATCTCCTTCAGCATTTCTAATGTGATTGCCTACATAGGAAGGGATCCACATTCATGAAAAATGAAGACTAGTGTGATTCGGGTTTCCCATCATCTAGACCTACTACTTAGGATCTAAAGAAAGAAGTATAGAGTCCTTATACTTAAAATCATGGGAATTATTTTTAGGTTGATGAATAGTCCTATAAAATTAAACTACTTAGTTCTTACACCAGTGTTGATGTTCAGAGTAATAGCTGTTCGTTTTTCCAATAGTTGTTTAATGTATTTATTGGGGTTTAATTACATTTATCATTTGCTTATTTGTTTCACAAACATTTTGAGGCTGTTGCAATCATTAGCTTACCTTTGCTAAGGGACAATGTTGTCTGGTAATAATGTATTATCTTATATGACAAGAAACTGATTTGGGGAGTTATTTGTTTGTTTATTGAGATAGGGTCTTACTCTGTTGCCCAGGCTGGAGTGCAGGGGTACAGTCATAGCTCACTGCAGCCTCAACCTCCTGTGCTCAAATGATCTACCCACCTCAGCTTCTCTCTCTCTCTCTCTTTTTTTTGTTTTTATAGATGGGTTTTCACCATGTTGGTCAGGCTGGTCTCAAACTCCCGACCTTGGGTGATCCACCTGCCTTGGCCTCCCAAAGTGCTGGAATTACAGGTGTGAGCCACCGCACCCCGCCAACTTCTCTAATAGCTGGGACTACTGAAGTATGCCACCACACCCAGCTAATTTTTTTTTTTTAATTGTGTAGTGACAAGATTTCCCTAGGCTGATCTCCAACTCCTGGGCTCAAGTGATCCTCCCACCTTGGCCTCCCAAAGTGCCAGATTACAGGCATGAGCCACCATACCTGATCTGAGTTATTTAAATTGCTCCTTGGCATAATAAAAATATTCTTTCCACTTGATACTAATAAAGAGTTTAGAAATAATATTATTCATTCTTTCCACTTGATACTAATAAAGAATTTAGAAATATTTTAAAGTAAATATGCCATTCAGTTTATTGCTTTAAAATGAACTGTGAGAAACATTTCTCAGAATCTAGATAAATTTAAAAGATAAATTATATATTTGGGTATAATATGTAATTATGATTATGATATAATTATAAGATATAATTCCACATGGCATCCACATTTAAAAAAAATCTTATTCTAAATTACCTGAAATGTAATCTTATAATCCTCAAATTGTTAATGGATAATCAAAGATTTTTGATACAACTCCGTAGTACAATATATTCTAGTCACAGCACTCATCAAAGGCTTATAAGAAAGAATCAGGCTATGAATTACACAGAAAGCAAAATCTCATGAAAGGAATTTTTATACATATTAAGTGATATTTCAAGGCTGACTTTAATGTTTTGTCTTCAGACACATCCCCATTGAGCATTTTTATTGGAAAATTCTTTTCCCTTTAAAATACTGTTTACATAATAGTTTTTTGGCTCTGTGGCATTTCTTTGTGTTGGTCTACCCGACTGCTCACCTGCTATATCAAGCAGCTGCTCCATGCGTCAACCATGTGGGAGGTGGGAATGTCAAGCGGAGGAAGAAAATCAGTAAAGCAAAAAACCTGCTTAAGGAAACCTCAGATCTGTCAAGTGAATTATGATACTGATTAGAAGCAAGTGGTCATTTTACTGAATAAGTAACATGTTCCATTTTTAGCAGTGATAATCTTACTGAACTAAAAATATTTTATATATTACACTGTGTAAAGTATAAATTATGTTTTCCCTTCTGGAAGAAAATTAATCTTGACCTGTTATTGACTATAATAAAATATTGCTTTCCCCACACTAAATGTTGATGCATTGTTTGCTGTTCCCTCTGGCTTATTTTAAATTGTGATTCTGTGCTTTTAACAAATAGTATGCTTTGTCTTCAACAGTATACTTTGCATTGCTTAGCTATGTTCAGTTTTGATCCTCAATCACATCAAGGTTGTAAGAGTAGAAATGTTATAAATAGACAAGTTAGTATTAAAACTAAAGGTGTACACACAGGTAGAGTTCAAATACATTTGAATTATTTATTATACTTAGGTAGATGAATAATACAACTTAAATTTTCTTGAAGCTGTTTGCTTTGCAAAATAGAAAATCATTGCAATTATTCCTGTATCCCATTTCCTTTCCCACTGTATTTTTAGTTACTACAGGATTGTTCTTATTTTTTTTTTTCCAACACATGGTGTGAAGATTAATGGAAGTTCAAGGTGATTGGAGACAAGTGTAATACGATGTCAACAGGGCTGTTCTCTGATCCCTGACTGAGGTCCAAAGCTGTGCACAGAAGGGGGTAAGTTCACATATTCTAAATTGTGAGACCACCTACAGTTAGGCCAGCCTACTAAGAAACGTTGATACAGGGAAACAGTGCTACCACAAACATTTCCCAAGCTACCCCATTCCTACTCAACGGAAGTATAAGGAATGGGTGCATAGAGAGGAGCAGCATTTTGTGAAGTATAATATTCATAAAGATATTCTCTTCCTTTCCTTCACTCCATTCTCACTGTAAGAGTGAAGATGGAAGCACTTTTCCCCTCAAAGTCTAGCAAGGAGCCCTCAGGAGAATTACTTATAAAGTTTAGAGATGTCCAACCCTCCCCACTCTACAAAGTAGGAGATTGGTGGTCATCTCATCTCTGACCTCATCTCTGGACCAGCTGAAGGCTCTGTGCTTGCAGAGCAAGGAGAGGGGATGCAGAAGGCTGGCCTAGCTAAGGGAGGAGGCACCACAATAGTCCACATTCCTACCTCCAAGAGAGGCTACTAGCTGGACCCCTCATGGGAGAGGTCAAGTAGGTGCAAGATATACACCTCAAGGAACGGGGCAGTGGAGAGGCACCCCAAGGATCTTTGCCAATGAGGAAGCCAGTACTTGGATTCTCTCCAGTAGAGAGGACATCGAAAGTCTAACAGGACTAACTAAATAAGCAGCAACATCCTACACAGAAGAAACTGCAACCTTTCTAGGAAGCCATATGAAATATCTACTTCCCTATTCTTCTTGCCCTAATTTCAGAAGGGAAGCAATCGAAAGAGTAGAGCACCTGCCGCTCCACCTTCACACACACATGCACTCCAAGCCACTGGCAATAGATGTTACTTTTGGACACGTCTGGAGATAAAGGAGGAAAAGGAAGGGAGGAAAAACTAGTTTTAAATCCTATTTGAAGCTTAAGTTGAAATGAACAAAACTGAGCCTTACATGCTGGAATGAGATGATCCTAATAACTTGAAGAGGTTGATAAATGGAATCAAGCCAGGGTGTGATTTAAAGAGTTGATACCCAGAAAAAAAAAAAAGGGTGGCATAGTATAATTAGTGGGCAGATTTTAAGAAAAATAAGGCTATTTCATATTTATGCCCCAAATGAATTGAGAATCCTCAAGAAAGTAGTTATGTAATCCCTCAGACTTCTGATTTTTAAAAGGGGATGGCATGATCAATTCTGAATATCACAGACAGATGAGATTAATATCATTTCAAGCAAGGAAATAGAATGGTTTTATTTTTTAAGAAAACTTTTTAAAATTTTATTTGAAATATGACGTGTGCACAAAAAAATGCACGAACCAGAACTGCGGAGGTCCATGAATTTTGCTCAAGTGAACCCACCTGTGCAACCAGCACCCAGATCAGGAAATAGAACACTACCAATGCTTCCAAACCCTATGCTTATGTTGATTCTTAGTCATCAGCCCTCTTCCGCTCCCCAAATCATACTATCTTGATTTCTATACCTGCAGATTAATTTTGCCTGATTTTATTTTTCTATAAATGAAGTCCTACAGTGTTTGCCTTTTGTGTTTCCTTCTTCCACTCAACATTACATTTGTGAGATTCATCCATGCTGTTACGTGTTGCAGTAGCCTGTTCATTCCATTGCAGCACAATAGTCTGCTGTTTGAATACACCATGAATTTTATTTATACAAATGGTAATGGGAAATTTTTTTTTTATCCAGTTTGGGCTACTGCAGAGAGTGCTACTGGATTTGCTTGCTCATATTTTACTTAGGACTGTCACAGTTACATTCAGGAGAAAGATTGACCTATAATTTTTCTTCCTGGTGATATTCTTGCTAGCTTTTGGTATCAGGGTTGTAGTGATCTCATAAAATTGTTGGAAATGATCCCTCTTTTTCTGTTCTCTGGAAGAGTTTGTGGTAAGGTTGATGTTTTTCTTTGTAATGTGTCTGGAAGAATTCACTGGAGAAGCCATCTGTGCCTGGAGCTTTCTTTGTGGGAAGGTTATGAATTCAATTTTTGTTTATAGGTATAGAACTCTTTAGATTTTTTTACTCCCCCATCCCCCAGTCTGAAAAGTTTTATGTTTCTAAGAATTTATCAATATCAGCCGGTGTGGTGGCTCATATCTGTAATCCAAGCACCTTGGGAGGTTGAGGTAGGCAGATCACTTGAGGTCAGGAGTAAGAGACCAGCCTGACCAACATGGTGAAACCCTGTTTCTATTAAATACAAAAGTTAGCCGAGTGTGGTGGCGGGTGCCTGCAGTCCCAGATCCTCAGGAGGCTGAGGCAGGAGAATTGCTTGAACCTGGGAGGCAGAGGTTGCCATGAGCCAAGATCAGGTCACTGCGCCCCAGCCTGGGTGACAGAGTAAGACCCTGTCTCTCAAAAAAAAAAAAAAGTATCCATTTCATTGGCATGCAGTTGCTTATAATTTCTTATTGTTATTACACTCTTAATGCTGATAGGATCTATATTAGGGGCTCCCCCTTCCTTTCTGATATTGGTTATTTGTACTTTCTCTGTTTTTGTTTGTTTGTTTTCTTGGTCAGAGTTGACAGAAGTTTCTCAGTTGTATTAGTTTTTTTTTTTTTTTTTTTTAGGCAGAGTCCTGCTCTGTTGCCAGGCACCAGGCTGGAGTGCAGTGGTGTGATCTTGGCTCACTGCAACCTCTGCCTCCCGGGTTCAAGCAAGTCTCCTACCTCAGCCTCCCTACACTCCCAGCTAATTTTTGTATTTTTAAGTAGAGACAGGATTTCACCATGTTGGCCAGGATGATCTCGATGTCTTGACCTCGTGATCCACCCACCTCGGCCTCCCAAAGTGCTGGGATTACAGGCATCAGCCACCGCCTGGCCAATTGTATTAGTTTTTTCGAAAAACCGTTATTTGGCTTTTTGGCTTTCTCTGTTGTATATTTGTTTTCCATTTCATGAATTTCTTTTCTAATCTTTATTATTTCCTATTCCTAACTCCTGTGGGTTTAACTTTTCTGCTTTTTCCCCTTTGGGTATGACTTTTTATATTTTATTTTATTTTTGAGACAGGGTCTCACTTTGTCACCCGGGCTGGAGTGCAATTGTGCAATCTCAGCTAACCACAACCGTGACCTCTCAGGTTCAAGTGATCCTCTGTCTCAGCCCCCAAGGAGCTGGGGCTACAGTCAAGTGCTTCCATGCCTGGCTAACTTTTCTATTTTTTGTAGAGACGGTGTTTCACCATGTTGGCCAGGCTGATCTCAAACTCCTGAGCTGAAGCAATCCACCTGACTCGGCCTCCCAAAGTGCTGGGATTACAGGAGTGAGCCACAGCATCTGGCTGGATATGACTTCTTAAGTAGATATTACGAATCATTACTTTTTAGATTTTCTTCTTTTTTTATGGCTTGTTCTTATACTCCATACATTTTGATAGGTAGTATTTTCATTATCATTTTGTTTAAAATATGTTTTAATTTCTATTGAGATATCTTCTTTGACACACAGATTATTTAGAATGTATTGTTTTTATTTCCAAAAATTAGGAAATTTCTAGTTATCTTTTTGTAATTGGTTTCTAACTTAATTCTGTAATGGTTGGATAACATACTCTGTATTACTCTGTATTATTTCAATCCTTTGATATTTCCTGAAACTCGTTGTTGGCCCAGCATATGATCAATTTTGATAAATGTCCAGGTAGACTTGAAAAGTATGTGTTTTCTTCATTTTTTAGGTGTAATTTCTATATAAGTTCAATAGGTCATGTGTGTTAATTATGTTGTTCAAATCTTCTATGGCCTGATATTTTGTCTACTTGCTCTACAGAAATGTGTTAAAATCTTCCATTCTGATTATTAATTTGTCCATTTCTTTTTTTAGTTTTATTTCTTTATGAAATTTTGAAATTACGTTATTAGGGGCTCAGAAATTTAGAACTGTCATATCTTCCTGGTGAATTGACCCTTTTATCATTATGAAATACACTGCTTTATCTCTAGAAATACTTTAAAGTGTGCTCTGTTTTTTAGCTTGCTTTTAATAAATGTTGATAGTATGTATTTTTTCATCTTTTTACTTTCAAATTCTGTGTGTTCTTAAGATGTATATCTTGTAAGTGGCAAATAGATTTTTTTCAATTATTCTGAAAAATCTTTGGATATTTTAATCCATTTACACTTTTAATAATTATTGAAATAGCGGGGTTTAAGTCTGTGATTTTACTACTAGTTTTCTATTTGTCCTACTTTTTCTATATTCCCTTTGCTCTCCTTTCATGGCTCTCCTTTCTTGCTTTCTTAGGATTTATTTTTAACCATTTTATATCCCCTTCTATTGGCTTGTTAATCATACATTATTGTATTATTCTTTTTGTAGTTATTCTGAAGATAAAATGCCTCCTTGAATCTAATAGAAACTAATCTTATACTACTTCCAAGACAATGTAGGAACTCCAGGACACTCTGCTTGCCCCTGTTCTGCCTTTTTGTGTTAATGTTGTCACATATTTTGTTTCTGCATGCAGTTGAAACCCCTCAACATGTTGTTATTGTTTTACACAGTTAATATTCGGTCTATTTATCCAGATTTTTATGCTTTCTGTTGTTCTTTATTTCTTCCGGCGGTTCTATGCTTCTCTCTGGGATTATATCTCCTTGTTTCAGTATCATTTTACTAACAATAGACCCTCTTAGGTTTGTTTGGGTTTTTTGTTGTTGTCGTTGTTGATCTGAGATATCTTTATTTTGGTTTCATTTTTGAAAGCTGTTTCGCTGGGTATCGAATCCTAGGAAGACAATTATTTCCTTTTACCGCATTAAAGATGACATATATGAAAAGTCAGCTGTCAATCTTATTCTTGTTTCTTTGAAAATAATGTGTTTTTCCTTCTGGCTACTTTGAAGATTTTACTTTGTCTTTGGTTTAAAGTGTTTGACTGTGATATACCTAAGATGTGAATTTTAAATTTTTTAAAATGCAAATTTCTCGAGGTATATAGCACTTCCTGTGGCTTTATGTATTTTGGAATTTTGTAAAATCTTGGCCATTTTCTATTCAAATATTACTTCTCCTATTTTCTCTCTCTTTATTTCTGAAACTCCAATTACATCTAAAATTAGGCTTCTTTACATTTGTATTATGTATGTCTCTTATGGTTTTAAAATGTTTTTTTTTTTTGTTTGTTTGTTTTTGAGACAGAGTCTGGCTCTGTTGCTTAGGCTGCAGTGTAGAGGCAGAATCTCTGCTCACTGCAACCTCCACTTCCTGGGCTCAAGCCATCCTCCCACCTCATCCCCACAAATAGCTGAGACTACAGGCACATAGTACCATACCTGGCTAATTTTTTAAAATTTAGAGATGGAGTTTCACCATGTTGCCCACCTTGGCCTCCCAAAGCGTTGGGATTACAGGTAGGAGCCACTGCACCCAGTCTTTAAAATCTTTCTTTTTTTCTCCCCATGCTTTGATCCGTGAGTATATTTAGAAGCAAAATTGGTGATTTAGGCAGACTGTTTACTATGAGCAAGTTATATCATTCTAACCTCACTTTCTTCTTTGCTAGAATTAGCAGATTAGCGATCCCTGCCACATTAGTCATAGTGCCTATCATACCCAGTGTTTCTTTCTAGGTGAAAATGCCTCACCCACAGCCCTCTGTTCATAGAATTAGAGTTGGGCTATTTCCTGCACAGTGGTGGCCAATCAGATTAGCTCTCTCTGTGATTTGGAATAGGACAGTGTAGGAGGGACTGGTCAGTCAGTAACAAAAGCAACAAAATAAGAAAATAAGATCCTAAAACAGAAGCAGATACTTAAGGGAGGTACCATGTAGGCAGTAAAACAGAGATGCAGAGTAGATTTTGTCCAGAACTGCCTTGGCTCCTGCAAGCTATTTAATTTTAGGTATAGTATGTATGATCTTATGAAGAAAAGCCCATTTCTTGAGGTGACCTGAATGAACCTCTCTTCCTTGCAATCAGAAGGGACTAATCTCTCCAGGAAATAAAAAAAAAAATGTGTATCTGGGCTGCAGCAAAGTATTTTATTAAGACATGCAATATCTTATGACAATATTGAAAAAATTTCACTAAATGTGAATATATTTAATAAATCAGTTAATTAGAAACTTGTTACATGAACATACCCAAAGGATACTAATTAATGAATTGCTTTAGCCTGTAGGGAGGGTTTTATTGTTGTTGTTTTAAATATAAGGTTCTTGCCTTGACTCTGTTCTTTTCAACACTGTTATCACCTTTGTTGAAAACAAGGTGCTTATCAAATTCACTAACAAAAAGCATATTATTTAACAGAAGCTTACAAGCTGGAACAATGGCTACTTCTAACAAGAATACATTTAAAACACAATTTTGATTACAAAAATAATATATTCTTATTGCCAAATATTGATAACGTTATCGAGAAAATTCTTTTTCTGTCATACTCAGATATCCTCAAATTATATATCTTCTATAATACAATATTTAATATGAATAGATTAAAGACCAGCTCTTAGGTTCAGAATACCAATTAGATAACCCCTGGGTGGGAGAGCTTTGAGGCTGCCAGCATCAGTGTGCTTTGGCTGCTGAAAAACTACTGGGATTTGGGGCAACATTGATAAAGGTTAAGTTCCAGAACCAGAGAGACTATAGTCCTACACTACTGTCAAAGGGATCAGGCTTCATAGTATGTTTGATTTAGATATGCTTGAGATTATTTATTTTATTGGTTAATATTTGAACAATTGTTGAGCAGAGAGTCTTGTAATAAAAATACTCCCTCATCCTCAAAATATGGCAGAGACAAATTTTCATAGTGAAAGAAGGCAGATAAAAAGTACAGCTTCAGCTGTTCATTTTTTATGTAGACTGCTAAATTTGCTTGAGGTTGTCTGATACAAATATCACAGGCACTAAAGTTAGACATTTCTTGGGAAACCTTTGCGCTTCTTAAAACCACACCTCCATTTCCAAGGAACATAGTCCAAGTTTAGCTAGAATTTGCTTGACATAAAGTAGAGCTTGCTGACAAAAAAATTCAATGTTAGAAGCATTCTTTTTAAAATCAAGAAGACAAGACTATCTACTACTGCTCCTCTCTTTTATTCAGCACAAAACCAGGCAAGAAAAGAAAAAGAAATAAAAGGTATAAAGATTGGAAATGAAGATATAAAAACTCATTATCCATAATTGAATTTCATGTGCTTTTAAATTCTTACTCTCTTCCTAGGCGGTTTCATTAGCTGTGTGTATCACACTTATTCCACATGTTGTAAGGAAATAACTAAAACAGATTTGTAGGAAAATAATTGTGATGGTGATGGTATAAAAACATGGCACATGAAGAAAAGATTTGGGAATATTTCACTTGAGGTAAAAAGACTCATAGGAGGGAAAAAAAGAATCAAATTAGTTTGTCTTCAGCTATTTAAAAGAAGAATTGTTATTCCAAACAGGGATTATCTAAACCCTCCCACACATCCCACATCCTAACCCACCAACCCCAAGGCTCTGGGAACCAGGGTCAACAGACAGGCAAGAGAAAAAGGATATAAGCTCTGGCAGAACTTTAAGAGTCAGAGTAATTCCAAACTGTGATAGGGATGCCTTAAGAGGTGGCCAGTTCTTTGTCACTGGTGGTTTTCAACTAAAGGCTGAGTAACCATGTGGTGGGAATGCTGTAGAATTCTTTAAGCCTTTAGGAACTAAAAAGCTCATAGTTCTTTGTTTTGAGACAGAAGCTTGCTCTGTCACCCAGGCTGGAGAGCAGTGGTATGATCATGGCTCATTGCAGCCTTGACCTTCTGGGCTTAAGCAATCCTCCTTCCTTACCCTTGAGTAACTAGGATTACAGGCATGAGCCTCCAGGCCTGGCTTTTTTTTTTTTTTTTTTTTTTTTAAGGTTTTCGTTGGTTGGTTTGTTTGTTTTTGTGTGTGTGTATGTGTAGAGACAGATGTTGCTGTGTTGCCCAGGCTGGTCTCAAACTCCTGGCCTCAAGTAATCCTCCCACATCATCCTCCCAAAACATTAGGATTTCAGATGTAAGCCACCATGCCCAGCCAAGAGCTCATATTTCTGAACCATGCACTGACTCATTAATCATGGCAACCCAATGAGGGACATTATTTCATCCATTTATCAAACGAAACAGAATGTTTGACAAAAAGAGTTGTCTGATACAACATAGGGGGTAAGTATGAAAACCTGAGTTCAAGCCCATGTAGTCTGTTTCCAGAGCTTTGACTCTTAACAGAA